CCCACTAAAAGATCCTTTTAATAAAAAGTGGTATTCAGAATGCTTATGAACAATCATTGACAGTACGGCAATAAACTATATAAGTTGTTGTTGTTGTTGTTGTTGTGGGGTTTAACGCCATTTTTCAGCACAGGAAAGGCTATACATGGCGGCCAGTATTAATGGTGGAGGAAGAAACCGGGAAATCACCGGAAAGAACCACCGACCCACGAGAAGCTACTGGCAAGCTCTCTCACATATCCACATTCGCCGAATCTTAGACTCGAACCCACCCAGATAGAGGTGAGATGGCAGTGATCCGTAGCGGACAGCGCTTTAGACCACTCGGCCACTCGGGGCCCCTCAACTATATAAGAGAAGTGCGAAGAATAAAGGAGAAAACTACGCTTAAAAGTGAAACAATCCAAATGTCTAAATTGCTAATACGATTCGATTTTTATACGATTAAATGGCAATGGTATCAAGAATAATCAAATAAGCAATATTTATTATGAAATAAGCCTAGAACAATTTTTGATTGAGGCTAATATTTGTAAAAGAACTGTTATGATTTAGTTTTTAAATAATCGGACTGGTGACGTGCAATTAAGAACTTCTAGCTCAACTACTGTTGCTATGGTCTTTATTTATATGGAGTAAAACTACGAATAGGAAGACAACTAATTTTAAATAGAAAACAACATAACATTTTTAGCTAGAAAGGAAGAAAGCGTGCAACTCTTTCCAGCTACTAGCTTATCACACTACGAGATATAATGGAGAAAGCAGAACTTGCTTTTCTAGTCAACTCAAATAATAATGATTTTTTCATTAATTTTCTTTTATAAATAAACAAATCATCTTTTCCATTTATTCCTCTATCACCTTCTACATTTCACAAACTTTTGTATAGCCAGAGCAACAGCTGATATAGGCATACACATGACAGGAACTGTAGCAACAAATTACAGCACCTTTTGATTTGTATTGCTGTTTCACTTTTTCAAACAACCGTAATTGTGCTTGAACCTATGATTTTAATTTTTGTTTGAGAAAAAAAAACAACTTTCCAGTTATATAAGATGTTTAACCAGTTTATCTGTTTTAATGTTGAATAGTTTCCAACATTTATTGCAATATAATAACTAATTTGTTTCAGTTTGTTTCTATGCTGATGTCCTTTGTCACTCTCCAATCTGTTTTTCTATACATTTTAATATATTATTTTATTGCTAGCTTCTTCAGAATTTAAGTAACTCCTTAGAGCTCCTTCATCATGTGTAGTGAATAATATTTTAAGAGCAAGTGGAAGTAAGTGAAGTTTTTTGTGGTATTGGTCATATATATCCTTAGCTTCTCTTGTCAGTTCATGACACAATTCATAATTGTTCATTGTTTGCATCTCCCTTTTACTGGCACGCTTGTCTGTTTTTGAAAAATTAGTTTCTAACAAAGGTATTGTGTCGTTAGTAGATATCATACATTTATGACCTTATTTTGTTCAAAGATAATGTGACCAAGAACTCTCTTTGCAGTGTCGACTGATACAGTGCTTGGTGCTAACATCGTTCAAATTTAGCATTTCAAAGTTGTTACTGATATCTTCATTACATATTAATTTATAATATAGTTTATTTAAATCTTTTAGGTTTATGACATTTATATTTTAATTCTTGAAATTTGATGTTTTTCGTAAAACTACAAGTAAACTCCGTGAGTCTATGACATCTTCCCCCTGATATCCAATCACTTCCTCCGCCGGACATTTTCCCCCTGGACTATTCCCCCACCCCACCAAATAGGACTTCCCTCCCCCCAGTCATTCCCCCTCATGATCTGTAAGCTTAATTCATTTAATATGACATTTTGCAAATAAAATATAAAAACTTATATTGCTACGTTAAAAGAAAAAGTTTATTTGAAATAAATTTCAATACTAAGTGTTTAACAAAGTTAACATTTTCACTTATTAAATAAAAATGTATTGTTTAAAAGTTAATGTTGTAAGCAATTGCTTTTAAGTATAATATTCTATGATATCACGATTGTCGAAGTCGGCGCCATGTTTGCAATTCTCGAAGAACAGGCTTTGTACTTCTTTGGTTGTCACATCATGATCCGCTTATGTCGACATATGGCCGGAGTACTGTACTGAAACAACTACAATTAATTGAATGATGGCTAATCCATCTGTTGTTTATCTTAAATATACCAAATATGCATAACAAAAAAGATTAGACTCAAGCCTCTTAACATACTTCAAAGAAACCTCATATTTTACATTCAGTAAAAGCGCTAGCAACTGATTGACAAATGGACGATGCCCATTTTTATTATAACTAACAATGCTTGAAAATGGGTGTGAATTTATGTTCACAGTTCAAATGTGTTGTCAAACTACCCTTAAGATCCATGATTGTGTGTGTACAAGCGCGCGATTGTGTTTGTGTGTGTGTGTGTGTGTGTGTGTGTGTGTGTGTGAGAGAGAGAGAGAGAGAGAGGGGGGTCAGGAAAGCAGATATATTGCATTAGATAATGCATTTATTTCAGGTGACAATAGTCATACCTGTGCACGAACGGTGATGTCGGATGAGAGTATACATCTAAGCTAAATGATTATATATATATATATATATATATATATATATATATATATATATATATATATATATATATATATATATATATACCAGACAGAACAGACTGTGCTATCATTGGATTCTGTAGTAGAATCTTGATAATAGTGGGCAGAAATAATAGTTTAATACAAACAGTACTATCATACAGGTTAGAGAAATTAAATTTGTACTCTACCGAGTTTCGAACCCAGGTCCGCGAGTAAATGGCACCCATCGCCTTGCCTGCACGCACCAACCCATATACCGTCACGACTAAGCACGTATCACCAAAAAATAATGGCACTGAATCATTGTTATATAAGCTCGTGCGTAGCAGACACACTCGCATGACGACCTAGTAATTAATTCTCATATATACACACAGTCTTTCCAGATTCCTTTGAAAGAAATCAAGGTATATAGGATTTTTGTTTTACAAAGAATTATAAATATATACCAGACAAAACAGACTGTGCTATCCCTGGATTCTGTAGTAGAATCTTGATAATAGTGGGCAGAAATAATAGTTTAATACAAACAGTACTATCATACAGGTTAGAGAAATTAAATTTGTACTCTACCGAGTTTCGAACCCAGGTCCGCGAGTAAATGGCACCCATCGCCTTGCCTGCACGCACCAACCCATATACCGTCACGACTAAGCACGCATCACCAAAAAATGATGGCACTGAATCGTTGTTATATAAGCTCGTGCGTAGCAGACACACTCGCATGACGACCTAGTAGACGACGGTATATGGGTTGGTGCGTGCAGGCAAGGCGATGGGTGTCATTTACTCGCGGACCTGGGTTCGAAACTCGGTAGAGTACGAATTTAATTTCTCTAACCTGTATGATAGTATTGTTTGTATTAAACTATATATATATATATATATATATATATATATATATATATATATATATATATATATATATATATATATATATATATATATATATATATATATATATATATATATATATATATATATATATATATATATATATCATAAAGAAATGGGAGAATGACTGGGGGGAAAAAGTCCTATTTGAAGGGAGGGGAGAATTCCAGGAGGAAAGTCGGGCGGAGGATGTTCAGGGGAGAGATGTAATGATACCAAAATCCGTGTACAACTTTATTTATCAATCAAGACTGATTGTTAAGGTCAAGTCAACAACTAGTTCGGTCAAGTACGCCATGCAACATGACCACGAAAACAATTCATGATACTAGGAGTGCATTTATCCTGTAGAGGTGTCATGAACGCCCTAATTGTCGTTTGGCATAATAATTTGAGAAGGTCTGAACATCACTATTAATTTTTTTTTACATTCTAATTATTTAAGTGTTCGAGAATATTTTTTGGGCTTCAGATTTTGTTGATTTAGAGACTATATAAGTGACTCAAAGCACATATTAATATTAATATTATTCAGTTCATATACAAATTTCGTATTAGTCGTGACAGGAACCCGTGTTTTATTTATAACATGTTCGTTGGACTTGCATACTGGAATTTATTCATTCTATAACAGACAGTACCTCGATGATTATGAAGTTATTTTAGGACTTCAACATCTAAATACTTATGTTGGACTATGAGAAACTTTCGAGGACTATAGTGATATTCTACTTTCATGGGATCATCTTGAACTAAAAACGTTTGGATTTTGAACTGTGATTATTCAGTGGTGTTAACACATTAGCACATAAGCACATTGTAACCTTTATTCGGAAAATCTTTGAATAGTTTCCAGATTCATGTGAAATTAAAAGTACAATTTAGGATAATACTCTAGGAACTCATACATTGCAAGCTATTTTAATATCATTCACTTTGATTATATGTTTTAGGGAAATAAATATTTATTGGGTTTTTGCATATCTTGTTACTTATTTCTAGACCCTACACGTACTAAGATAATTTGAAGTAGTTAACTATTTGGTGTTAAAAGTGATTTATTTGCTATTCTAAACGTGTTATACATTGGATGGATATAATATCGAAAATATTGTGAGGTCTCAGTTCGAAAAATCTGTCAACTTTGGTTTCTACATAAACGATTACTCTCGTCTATTCAGTCTCGAACTTCGACTTGCATGATAAGTGTATGAAAATGTCATCCCTAGACTCTCTTTCTTTTGTGACATTAGTTTTAACATTCGCTTTTTGCATCAAGTTCATTACTTACACGTGTGTGTACGTTATGCGATATTAAGGGGTTGTGCTGATGTCAACAAAATCCTTTATAATATAGGGCAAACTTAAAATAATCCCACTAATGTTTTTGCTATTTTCGTCTTACTCATCATGCAAAATTATTGTATCTGATCGCTTGGTAAGCAGGCAAAAACTTCCTTATATATGTATGCTTACTAGTCAAGTGATTAAGTTCATATTGGACTGCTCCGGTTGCCTTGGTGGTAAGAGCGTCCGCCTCGTATGTGGGAGGTAGTGGGTTTGATCTCCGGCCGAGTCATACCAAGAACTTATAAAAATGGTGCTAACAGATGCCTTGCTTAGCTCTCAGCATTTAGAGGTTAATGTTAGCACTGGTCGGCCTGGTGTCAGAATAATGTGACTGGGTGGGACATCGTGCTACGTGTCTGCGGCAAGATACTCCAGTGATAGACATCACTATGAATTGCCACAATGCAGATATCGTAGCGACATGACTGAAAGATTTTTAACGCTACTTTAAAAATCGAAATCACAAACACACACACGCACACACACACACACACACACACAAGTTCATGTTGTTGTTAGCGGTACGATCACGTGAACAGTCTACTGCATGACCTCGAGCATATCGAAGAGTAAATTTGCACGAGCAGACAATCCAACGTATACGTATTTTATAAACCCACGATACAAACGTATTTAGAATGAAAGTGAGAAACCGCCTTAACAAGTCACGGCTGAGGATATATTGATGGCAAATTTGTACGTATTTTCCCTTTCTTTGTACTGGTAATTTCGTGCATTACTTTACACGATAATGTTGTTGTTGTTTTTGTGCTTAACACCGTTTTTCAGCACACAATAGGCTATTCATGGCGGCTAGTATTAATGGTGGAGGAAGAAACCGGGAAATCACCGGAAAGAACCACCGACCCACGAGAAGCTACTGGCATGCTTTCTCACATATCCACATTCGCCGAATCCTAGACTCGAACCCACGCAGACAGAGGTGAGATGGCAGTGATCCGTAACGGACAACGCTTTAGACCACTCGGCCACTCGGAGCCCCTACACGATAATGTGACTAATCATTATGATATCACCCTGTTTGGCAAGATATCTATGTTTTCTTCTTTTACTCTCTCTTCTTATATATATATATATATATATATATATATATATATATATATATATATATATATATATATATATATATATATATATATATATATATTTGATCAAACTTTATAGAAGATAATGATCGATTGAGATTGGGGAGAGTAGTTTCTGAGACAGAGGCGGATGTGAATACCACTCCCATTAGGGGACGTGGTTGTCAGGGTGACACCTATCTATTTTTCTGTGACAAGCTAAACGTCGCACATTCTACCTTGCCCTTACTATTTGTTCAGTAAAATCTTTATAAATTTTAGTTTGTTTTTAATAGACATTAGACAAAAGCTACAAGAAGATTATATTTATAATGGCCAATCCATACAAGAACTTAGAGATTGTAACATATGAGACAACATTCTAGTTTTGGGATGTATGTCTATATTTCTTTTAACTTCCGCTACATGATTTTGTCTAAATTTTGTAATCTTTTTTATTCATAGCTGTAAATTGAAGTGACCATCTTTATTTGAAATTTCGTACGTGTAGAGTTCTTTTTAAGATGTTAAAGAAAACAAAATTGCATAAAATCTATAAATGGATGCATAGGTGTTGAAAGTTACTAATAATAAAATTATTAGAAAATATGTTTACGAGTTACGGTCTTGTCCCATTGAACACGTCAGCAATGTGGTATCTTACAAGAATTTAGTGAATTTCCACTGGATGTGGTAAATCATGTGAGTTCTTTTAGGCTTTTGGAAATTTGCGATTTGTTACGTAGCAACAAACATTTTAGCTTTCTACATGTACATTTGTGGCTTAGGTTAGACTACTTTCTTATTCTTATCTCATGTGTTCTGTTTATAACATCAAGTCTGCAGACGTATTTTATGTTGTATTTATATATTATTTGACAGGAAAACATTTCTTTCGATTATTCAGTGGAATCAGATTGGACTATGATCTTATTTTGGAACTACTATGAATTATTTAAGGGACATTTTTACAATGTCACAATTCTTGGTGGACCAGTATATTTGTGGATCAAAATTTTATACGAAATATTTCATTCATTTGAATGTCAACAGAACTTTTTCATGATTATTTGTATATACTAATAAAAATGTAAGTTCCTCTTCAAATTTCATTTCATAGCATTAGTAATTAAAATTGTTTGCTAACATTATACACTGGACGAAAATATATCCCTGTCAAGGACCATTTTAAAGAAGACATCTCAGCATTGAAATGAAACCATCCATAAATGTGGAACCCTTGAGGAGGAAGTACGAATCATATAAAATAGTACTTTTAGACCGGGGAGAGAACAAATAGGGGCCTGGTTTCAGTGACCTAAACAAACACACAATTACACCTCTGATATAAAGCAAGAAAATGAAAATATAGGAACTATATCGCGACCCCCACTCCTACCTCCCAAAAACAAACAAACAAAACAACAGCATTTTGTCTCAAAATTCTCTTTTACGTTTTACGGAAATACCCACAAAAACAAACTATGGGCGAAATAAACATTTATATAAATCCTTTATAACTTTCGGCACAAAGGGGGTCACATGAACAGTTTGTCTGTCATAGCAAGAGATCTGACATGTGTCCATCTATAAATAGTAATCAACCATTATTTCGGATATGCTGTTTAGCCCAGACTACCCTATGTATTTGAAGGCATCGTGTACCATTACCAGGATCACAGACACGACGCTATGGAAGAGAAGAATTTATGCGGAGATGCAAGGGTAACTGAAGAGATCTTCCACCATAGACCCACCGTGCAACGACGTTTGAGAAGAGGAAGAACACTGAAGCAAGGATACTTATATTAAAGGTCGTTGATTAACAAAACTAAACAGCCCTTTAATGGGCTATTCAGATCTCTAGAAAAGAGATATACTTTATCTTATTGTCAAAAACAAGTTCGTGGAGGTTTTTGTCTGTTTTAGGTATGTGTTTATATATGCATGTGTAGTTGACAAACTAAAAGTTAAAACTAGTTTTAACCATATCACTTGTAAGAACTGCTTAATTGTATACAATGATATGGATGTGTCTATAAACACTTCCTAATCTTCCTTGAGTGCTGTAGTCTAGAAACATTTTCTGGCCTTTATGTTTGAAGATTGGGGCGTGTTTTGGGATAGTAATCAAACAGCGATCGTTGGTCTGTATATGTGGTGTGATTGGATTGTTGATCAAAATGTTAAAATTGCCATTTCCGTTAAACTACATAACCTCTCGACCCTTTATCCCGCCCCCATTTTAATATTAGCATTCATTTTGTACCTCTGAACACCCTTTTCACTATAACATCATAACGATATTAAAACCATGGACCCATTTAACATAGGATTTCACTTTTGTACTTAATAGCGTGCCCCGCATATTAACCTAAGTGTTTAACTTGTAAACACCCTAAATGCCCCATACAACTGTTGACACGATCCCAGTGATAAAGCATGTTTGCACCTGTTCACAGTGACAAGCAAGGGCAGTTATTGTATGAGCGAATTGGTGAAAGGTACGAATCTATCAATGCGCCATTCAACTACTACTTGTGTCCTACAGGCAAATTGCACTGTACTTATATATATATATATATATATATATATATATATATATATATATATATATATATATATATATATATATATATATATATATATATATATATATATATATAATTACTTATGTTGCAGAAAATGATTTCTAAAGTGAACAGACTTACGCCGTTGCTACTCCTGGTGGTTCTTGTTTATTTGCATCGGGTTGAATCATATTGCTTCGCAAGTGCTCCGACAACAGGTAAAATCAAAAAGAAATATCGTTGAGTAACTTGAAGATACCAACATTGCCATAAAAATGTAAATCCAATCATCTGATTTCTTAGAAATTTCAGGTTAAAATATAAGTTCAGCGCACAGTTACTATTTCAATTTGCTAGGGCTCTTTCTGTCTGTTTATCGAGAAATTTCTAACAGTCTGGCATATAACATTTTTGAATCAAGATCTTTGAAGGGGATACAAAATACTGCTTTCACTGTGTATAGAACCCATCTTATTTGGCACAAAATTTCTTTAATAAAATAAAGCTTATATGTCAATCCCAGCCCTAAACCTAGCCCACAAGCATTCGGGAAAATGGAATCGTCACAGATGGCCATATCTAGTATAATTTAACCTGGACAGAAATAAAGATGACAAGTACACCTTTTTACCATGAAAATTATATTGGGGATAAAAAGTTTGTGAAAATGTAATATCTTCAGTACACAATTATCCTAGCGCATTTCTCTCTTCGATTGCATTTTCTTGCAATTGTGGTCTTTATTCGAACTGGTAATAAGTATTAAATAAGTACATTTAAAAGGAATGAAACATTTTTGTATCAGTGGTGAAGAAATTCTGGACTGTATCCAAGTAAAACAGTTCATTGATGGAAATACTAACCCCGATCCCCCAATTTGTGTGGGGTGGGGTGAGGTTGTGAGTTAGCTACACAAATGGTTTAAATAAATCATTTCTTATTCTAGTTTTCTAGTTGTCAGACTATGAGTGAACCTTTTAAAACAAATTCTGATAAAGCTAAGAGTGGGAGTGAGGAGATAATGCTTGTTTTATAACAGTATTCACTGTCGACTCCCATTATTTTATACCCCCAGCTGAAATTGAAGAAGCATTTATTCAAATATGTTTATCTTCTGGCTTTGAAGTGATTTTAAGACGGAGGGCTTCAATCAATACAAAACTTAGAAAAGGAGCGTATACTAAAAGTTTCGAATTTGAAATATCCTTCATCCGTTGATGATGCTGCAAAAAATTGCTTCAGTAGATGAATGACTTATAATGAGTAGACAAGCGACTTCTAATGAGAAGTTCAGTGGCTTCTAATGAGTAGATCAGTGGCTTCTAACGAGTAGATTAGTGGCTTCTAATGAGTAGGTCAGTGGCTTTTAATGAGTAAATCAGCGGCTTCTAATACGTTGATTGGTGGCTTCTAATGAGCAGACCAGTGCCTTCTATTGAGTAGATCAGTGGCTTCTAATGAGTAGATCTGTGGCTTCTCATGAATTGATTAGTGGCTTCAAAGGAGTAGATTAGTGACTTCTAGTGAGTAGATCGGTGGTTTCAAATGAGTAGATTAATGACTTCTAATGAGTA